ATAACACACTCCCACAAACACAATCAATATATGAATAAAAATATAACCCTTTCAAAGCGTTCAAAATGTTCAAAATGATTCAGAAATGTCCTTAGTGGTGACAATTATTAAGGTATCTAATGAATGAAAATGAAGGGTTTATGATGAAAGGTTATTAAGCGACAATATTGAGAATAAGACTCAACTAACATCTTTCTTCGATAAATGCAATTCGAATCGACTAGCACTGACGTTACTGTATCATGAAATGAGAAACCATTTCACTTATGACAATAAGAATGGAATATGGGTTGAACACACACCATAATTGAGAGGATGAGTGATGAAGGCAGCGATGAAGGTCGTAGATCTCCTAAACGCCAAGTCGACACGAAAATGACTATGATGGATAATCTGGTGAAAGCGAACCGTCGAAGAAACGTGAATCCGTAGACTCTTAGATAAATAAACCAATATTTGTATAACATGCCTCTTTTATTTTACATACAATATAACCCTTTCAAAATGGTCCAGAAATTACCTCGGCAGTGTCGGTGTTTTGGCGACACCCCTATAAAGGTATCTAGCATGTCAAGCGACAATATTGACAATACCGCTACAAGGCAAGGTCCATATCAGTACGTCTCGTCACTAAGCGACTCAAATTTATCCGTCTCACGCATGACGTCACTTGGCGTAGATGCCTGGGGGTTCGACGCTAATCGTGTGGTCATTCCTCAATGTGATGTAGAGCTGTAAGGATCTCCCTCGCTCTCCCGTTTTCGCTCACTTGACTGACGCGCGCGCAACGCCACAATGCCCAGTGGTTGGTTGCAGCTAATATATGAATATGTATGTGTATGTTTATGTATTGTCATTATCATTATTATTATTATTATTATTATTATTATTGTATGATTTGTCAAAATTCGTCAAAACATTTGGAGTATAAATATGCCATGTCTTCTTTGTTTATTTTACGTCTCTATTATGCCATACCTAAGCTGCGACATGTGAATTACAAAATTGAATTCCCGTGATATGTGTTATAGACTAACAAACAATCACTGATAATCATCGCCTGTAAAATCTGTCCATTACGCAAATCATCCATCGTGCCGTAAATCTAAAATCACTTAAGTATCTGCTTATTTGCTACCGTTTTCTATTATCTCCCACCCTACCATGATCTATTCCCCTTCCCACCCCCCTTCCCGCTCTCAGCTTCCTCCTAGTGACGTCATAGGCCTTATCACCCAAAGTAGTGCAGAACTCCGAAGTGACGAGACCTGTACTCATTTAGACCTTGGACAGAGGCATCTGTGGAAGTGGAGGTGTGCATGTATGTGTGTGTGTTTCTGTGTGTGTGTGTGTGTACGCACGCGCGTATGTACTTGTGTGTGTGTGTGTGTGTGTGTGTGTGTGTGTGTGTGTGTGCTAGTGGTTAAGAGAGATTTAGCAAGAGCATCTTCGGGTTTAGCCGTTACAGTGTTTCACGGAGGACGAGTTGCCCATAACATGTTCACGGTACCCGAAATAATAATAATGAGTTCATATCATGCGGAATCAAGAAGAAAACGATGGCGGAGCTACTTTTGCCTACATGTTATAATATGGGATAAAGTAGTAACAGCTAACAAGAACGCTATTTGCTGCTCTTGATGTCGCTTTGATAGATATAACAGAATGGTGCATTCATTGGTGATATACCATAGGCCGGTGATTTGAAACAAATCCTTCCTGTCATTAGAGGAGAAGGAAAGAACGATGTGTTGAATCATTGTATAAAAAGCAGCTTTTTCTGGCCGAATATGGTTAAACTGGAGCTAAATGAGAATGTTAGACTAAAGAAGATAGATACCACTAACGTTGCATGCATGAACGTTAGATGAATAAACCATTATTTGTATAGCATGCCTCTTTTATTTCAAATTTCTTGATATTGTGTTAAATAAGGGCGAAGCCCTAAGGGCGCGAAGCGCCCGAAAGCGGGCGAGCACGCTATGCAGGCCAAGCAATTTGGTGTAGCCAAGTGCGGCGCAGCTGTTGGGTGATATAAATTAAAACATAATCCTATGAAAATATTCAAAATGTTTAAAAATTTTCAAAAAAATTTAAATGTTCAAAATGGTTCAGAAATGACCTTGCAGAGTTTTGGAAACACCCCTATAAAGGTATCTAGAGAATGAAAATAACTTAAGTCAAATTACAATCAATCAGTCTATCAATATATATATATATATATATATATATATATATATATATATATATATATATATATATATATATATACATACACACACACACATACACACGCTCACACACGATCGCACACACACACACACACGCTCATACACATACACACACTCACTCATACACGCAGACACTCACACACACACACAGAATCACGAGATATTGTCACTTGATAAGACGATATGATTTCTGTACGTTAACACAAGGTACCCAGCACCCATGTGTTCGCAGGTAGCGGCTGCTGAGATGCAGGCTAACATCCTTCTGT